GCCATTTGAAATCTCCAAGCTGTAACTTCCAAGAGTTCCAAACCAACACCTGAAGACACTTCTCTAGGATTAAATTTTGTTCCCAACTTTGCTATAAGAAATTAAAAACTTTTTACTCTAAATTCAGTAGACAACATCACACCAAAAAGGAAATAAAATTAACAAGCTTTTGTTTGTCTGCAACTTTTAATACCTACAATATTATTTTTCATTAGATGCTGAGGGGTTTTTTAGCCATTATGGACAAACATTTTAGAAAACCTATAAGCCAGCACACCAGGTTTTCCCTAAATGGGAGCTTTTCATGTTTGGACTGTTTTTATTGGAAACAGACAATGCAAAGTTTGTTACTAGTTTTACTTGAGTGAAATTCTGTAACCTTCCTAAAGCAGAGGAACAAAAAATACTGATGATTCAAGAGCAATAGAGTAATTTCAATTAAGAATTTATAAGAGCAGTAATTAAAAAAAACACTGCAAGTTTCTCAAGACAGTATTTTTATTTTTCTTGCAGTAACCTGGGAACTAGAAAGCATGGGAAGGAAGCAGGGAGGGAATACTTTGCCTAAGTAAGAATGTGTGACAAGAGGAACAAAGGGAAAGGAGATTCCACCTTGGAGAGCTGGCCAGCCTGGCACAGCTAAATCCAGCTGCAGGCTGAGCATCCAGCTGCAAACAGCAGCTTCCTGGGAAGGACAGAAACAGGCAGGACAAGGAGCAGCACCCACCTTGCCACGAGCAGTGTCTTGTGCAGGTCATCAGCTGTGATGCTCTCGGGGTCGTTCTTGCGCATCTCTACAAAGTCCTCTTCCACTGCCTGGGGACAACAGTGGAGTGATGGAGCAAAACAGAACCCTCATGTAGAGACAAGCTTTCAAGGAGTTGAACACCTCAACTACCTTTACAAGACAGTATTTCAACTCATTGCTGTGCAGAGCCTGAGCAAAACCAGGCTACTTCTCATCTTTGAAAAAACCTGGTTTTCAAAATCAATATTCCATGTAGTGTTTCTCATTTGTACTATACTTATTTCAGTGAATACTTTACAAATCCTTAAAGGTATGTTCAGGACATGAAAACACTTCTCGTTTGGTTTTTAGAAAACTTGAAGGAGAATCACCGACAGGGAGAGCAATGGGAAAGTACTGTAACAGTCTGTTAAGGTGCTTTCTATCCAAATACACAGTTGAAAATGTATTAGTGGAGTCTTCCCTACCTTGGTCACTTCATCAGATATACTGTAGTCCAGCAGCCTCAGCAAGCTCAGGTAAATTCGGAATTTGTTGAGCACAGAGGGGAGCACTGCTGTCAGGAGGCTGCTCATGTACTCCTCCATGTTTGGGGGGATTATCTGGGGTTGTAGGTGGACTTGGCAATCTGACTGAAAGAGAAAATTACACACCATCTCTTGCCACATCCCATC